ACAGGTCCCAGAGCCATAGGGCACACGAGGTACATATGAGTCCCTGGTAGCAGCATACCGGGACAGATGGAGGGCTGTCCTTTCTCACCCAGAGACTAGGAACAGGTGACCCTGTGATTCTGGATCTCAGATGTTCCCTGCCCTGTTTGCTGACTGCAGAGTCCAGGGCTGGCATGCCAAAGGATAGGCCCAGGGCTGCACACCAGCGAGCAGGAATTCGGGGATCTGCTGCAGGTTTTGGGGGAGGAAAGACACACTTGGAGTCAGAGGAGTTCAGCAGCTTCTGGTTCACACCTGTGAGGCCTTGCCAGTACTCAGAACACACAGCAACCGGAGATGGGTTCCTGAACACTCCTCCCCCTTAAAGAAAGGAACCCAGACATGCAGTGAACTAAACGGTCCAAGAAACAAGATAGTGGTCCCATCAGGGGATTTGAGAGGCTAAAATAATTCTGGAGTCTGTTCTAGATGTATGCAAATAAACAGCAAAATTTTTGCAAGTATTTCTCTGCAGGTGAGGATCTTCTCCTGGGGGTGCTGTTAGGCAAAGCCAAATTCCCTCTTGGGAGCAGCGTCCCATGGAAAGCATCTGTGATGAGGTCCCTGGGGTCCTGTGTTCACCTGGCTGCTTCCGTCTGCCTCTTTCCCTGAGGCTGCTTGTGATGTTTTCTCTCCGCACAGCGAGGTCGGTTAGAGGGTGACAAAGGTAGCCAAGATCCCCAGGGGATCTGCCAGGCCAGGGCTAGGTTTGTGACCCCAACACTACTGCATGCAGGGCTGGGGAACTTGCTCCCCAGGAGGCCAGCAGGAGCAACTCTGTACCCTGAGCAGTGACAACCAAAAATGTCTCCACACTGCCAAAATGTACCTTTCTGAAGCTCTTCTGGCTGGGAGACATAGGGCTCTTAAACTCTGGTACAAATGTTTCCTTGATGTGATAGGACACGATTCAAGAGCAAAATACAACAGAACAGGAAACAGGGAGAGATATCTGTCGCAGAAAAGATGGGGACCCAGAGACAGAAGGAGAGGAGCGTCAAGAGCTGAGATTTGTTACCTGTGTGCACCCGCTCCTGGTGAGGAATGGCATCGTCACGTACTGCAAACACAGGCTCATGAAAAACGTAGGAGCTGAGTGAACCAACATTATGGATTTGCATGAGAGGAGAATGTGGAGTCCAGGTGTGGCCTGTTTCTGGACTGGGTGTGATGTTTCCATCCTGAGCTGCTACAAGGGCACCTGCACCTCCTGCAGCCTGGCCCGAAGGGGAGGTGGCTTGGATAACACTCCCAAGCGAAGGTGGCATCTGTCCCCTCTTCACAGCGCTACTGTTTCTTATTCCTAGAGGCACAGGAGCAACGCTGCCTATGCCCAAGCCCTTGGACAAAACAGCACACAGACCATTGTTAGCTGTGATCTGTAGATGGGAGGAGGCGGCTCCCTAGCCTAGCAGGCCTGAGCAGCTGCACAATGAAGAGACCCTGAAAAGGGCTGCTTGAGAGAGACCAAGTCAGGCGTGTTGGCACACACCTGTCATCTCAGTCCTTGGGAGGCTGAGGCAGGAGGATTCCTGCAAGTTTGAGGCCAACCTAGGTTATATAGTGTGAGTCCAAAGCCACTCTGAACTACCCAATGAGACTCTGTCTCAAAACACAAAAAAAGAGACCAGAACCCACTTGCCCATTTCAAAGTGGCCATAAACTGTCCTGATTCATGCTGTGTCACACACATACCTATGTGTGCAAAGTCTCTGACCACACCTGTGTGGCCACACAAATGGGGAGTGGACTAAAAAACGTCTGTTCAGCCTGTGTTTAGCAGCTTTGCAGTTTTTTTCTTCCACATATTACCATTAGGTAAATCAAACCGCTGTAGTTTCTGTGGGCAAAAAATGTGTTTACACATTCTCTTGGGTTATCCTGCTAGGAAACAAACAACTCAGAACAAGAAAAACTGTGTGGCGATTTTTAATTACGTTTATACTTAATAATGGAGGGGCACCCATTCATGATAAAAACCCTACAAAAAATTGGAACAGATGGTCTTTATCTCAATCTGATAAAAGCCATCTACGACAAACTAACAGCCAGCATCATACTAAATGCACAAAGCTGAAAGCTTTCACTCTAAAATCAGGCACAACACATGGATGTCCACTGTCTCCACTTAGTCAACATAATCCTGGAAACTTTAGCAGGAGCAATTAAACAATAGAAAGAAATAAAAAGAAGAAAGGTAGGAAAGGAATACATTAAACTATCATTATTTGCAGATGACATGCTACTCTATTTAGAAGACCCCAGAAACTCCACCAAAACACTACTAGATTTAATAGGCAAATTCAGTAACATAGTCGGTTGCAAAGTCAACAGTGAAAAATCAATAGCCTGGGCCGGGGATATAGGTCAGTGGCACAGCCCCTGTCTGGCAAGCAGGAGGTCATGAGTTCAAACTCGGGTACAAAAACAAAAGAGCATGATAAAAATCAATAGCCTTCCTGTACACATGTAACACAGTTACTGAGGGAGAAGTCAGAGAATCAATGTCTTTACAATATCATCCAAAAAAAAAAAATACTTAGTAATCAATCTAACAAAGGAGGTAAACTACTTCTGCATTGAAAACTTCAAAAAAAGGTGATTGAAAGGATTTTAGAAAACAGAGAGATATCCTGTGCTCTTGGGTAGGAAGAACCAATATAGTGCAAATGGCCATACTTCTAAAACTGTTACACAGATTCAGTGCAATCCCAATCAAAATTCCAATAGCATATCTCACCGAATTAGAGAAAACAATCCTAAAATTCATCTGGAGCCAGAAGAGACCTAAACTAGCAAAGGTAGTCCTGGGCAACGAAGAAAAAGACAGGGCATCACAATCCCTGACTTTTGAAATTATACTATAAAACTACTGTGATAAAAACAGTGTGGCACTGGCAAAAACAACAACAGAACTAAAGATCAATGGGAACAGATTAAAAGATGTAGTAACAACTCCAGATACACTAAGCCACCTTATCTTTGACAAAGGTACCAAACACATTCACTGGAAGAAATAAATTTAAATAAATGGTGCTGGAAATACTGGCTCTATACATGCCAAAGATTAAAACTGGACCCGTCTTTCACCATGTACCACACTAACATCAGAATGGATCGAAGATCTTAATATTGAAAGAGAAATAATAAACCTGCTCAAAGAGTAAGTGAAACTCTTGAAGATACTAGTGTAGGCAAAGACTTATGAACAAAACCTTGACTGCACAGAACTATCACAAAGATTCAACAACTTAGGATCTCACCCTACTGAAAAGCTTTTGCACAGCAAGAGAAACCACCAACAGTGAAGAAATAACCCATGATGTAGGAGAAAATGTTTGCCAGCTGTTCCTCAGACAAAGGATTACTATTGAGGACATAGAAAGAATTTTAAAAAATCAGTCTTCCCAGATTTAAAGACCCAATCCAAAAATGGGCATCTGAGATGAACACACACTTCTCAGATGGAAAAATAGCAAATAAAATACATTAAAAAAGTTCATTATTGGTCATTCGAGAGATGCAAATTAAAACAACACTGAGAT